AAAATCCAATCTGTTGGTTTGGGATTATGTTTTGCCCTTCTATTTCAACAACAAATTGAGAAAACAGAGAATACAACAATACTATAAACTAAAAACATTTTGTGTGCAGAGGATTATTAAGAATTTATTCTCCTTTATGCCACAAAGTACTCAATGTCCTTAATTCCCACAGGGAGTGGAGGATCTCAGCACCAAAGAATCAGGCTTATCCAGAACTCATTATTCTGCAGAACTATATAAACATGAGTTAACACTTACAACATCAACCTATTTACGAGCAAAGTTACAATGGTACCAGGGTTTTTCACCTTTACCGGAAAGGGACTATCCCAGCCCTTGCCAAACTCCAACAGCCACTCCAGACTTAACCCTGGTTTTCACATAAAGCAGTCCTTAAAACAGAAATTGTATTATGCTTCTGTTGTATGAAAAGAGAACCTCTAAATTCTCTGAAGAGCCTGAGAGGGCAGTTCTGTTTTCTCTGGAAGCCCCAGTGTCAATGCACTAACACTTCAGTCTGGCTCCTGCAGGGTCCAACCTTGGTCCAGGGGCTTTGCAGAACAAACAAGAAATAAAGACTCTTGTCTCCAAAACTTTGCAGCATCCACACATAAAACACAGGGAGACAAAAAAAAATACCAACACCTAACCAATCCAAACCCCCTCTTCAGTTAACAATGCAGCATTTTGAGATTACCCTACTGATCTTTCTGGCAGCGTGTTTAGTGGGGGAAGTTGGTTGTTTGTAATGGAGCTATAGAGACCTGAAAAGGAAAGGGTATGTGTATCTAATCAGGAGACAGTTGAAAACTGACCCTGCCATGCAAAATAAGCAGGCTGGAGAAAGAGTGGGCTCCTGAAAAAGGACAAATGAGGCTTAATAAGACATCTGTCATGCCAGAAACTCTGGATCAGAAGTGGAAGACAGACACTGGCTATAGCTGTTTTTAAAAATGCAACATAAATTACAAAACTGTGCCCAGCATATGAAGAAAGATAACTTCCATATGGCTCATATAGCTGGAACAAAGACACTAGGCAAAAAAGAAGAGGGGTGAAAAAATAATGATAGGATAGGTGTTTTCAGAGGTTTAAATAGTCCAACACAAAACAGAGGCAAGACAAAATAATATCAGTACCAAACGTGCTTAGCATTCTTTCCTTGCACACAATGCTCAGCATGAGCATTCTTCAGCAGAAGAGGACTCAGAGGAGCAGGCTGGAGAACCCAGCTCCCAGAGCTTCCCTGCTCTGAGCCCTGCCCTTCCACAGCTGGCCCATGGGCTTGCCTGAGATTTTCAGTATACCAGGGAAACTAATTACAACATTTCCTTTTGMAGTTATGCAATTTACCTCGTGGACATGGCCAAGCTGATACCAGTTTAAGGTTTTTTTTTTTCCTTCTCCAAACTGCTTAGACACAACCACCTACTRTTAAAAAGCATCCAGCAGCACCAACTGAACAAGCAAATAAATCACAAGCTTTAACCAAGCTCAACACTACATTTATGTAGGCAGTGTCAAGCATGAAATCAAATCACTGTGCAGCCTCAAACAGAAGGATGAAGCTGAGAGCTTGACTCCACAAAACACAGTAGATATGGAAACAGTCTGGACATGTTTAACAGGTCTTAAACTTCAGTAGTAAGCTAGACTGAAGCATGTGGGCTTCTGCTCATCCATGCCTGACAAACAGATCTGAAACAGGTCATATTCCTGCCATTCCAATAAGAAGCACTGACAATTACACAGCAGCCCACAAAAGCATATAGAATATGCTTTGATAAAATAAACCTCTGATAAAATATAATTGAAGGCTAGGTCTAGGTCTACTGACTTCCTACATCTGCCCCATTGCAAAACCTTCTGCAGTCACAGTCAAATCTTCCAAGCAGTGCTGCTGCACAAGGGTGCAGTGCTTGCAGCTCCCTGACTGCGCCCATCACTTCAGCGTACACCAGTGTGCAGGTATTGTTCATTACTCTTCCTAAATGTCATAAATCTGAACACTGAGAGGAAAAGAAAGAAAAAGGAAAGCAGAGCCGGAATTTCTGCCACAAGAACAGARTCAGCACGGTGACAGAGGTGACATCAGGGCACAGCACAGCCTTGTGCAGTTCAACACTGTTACCTGACTGGACAGAGGAGTCCGGAGCCCCAGAACTGGGGCACACATCCAATACCAACAGGAACAGGCTGTGTCACAACACAGCTCAGTACCAGCAGAGCAAACAATGACAAGAGACAGGAATCAGAAAAGAGCTATATTGCTCGACTACAAATTCTACATTGTGTAGTTTTTGWCACTATGAAATCACAGCTTCTCCACTCTAGATGTTGTTTCTTTGTTCCTTGTAGCTTGTATAGCCCATATGCTCAMAACAGATGGATCAATGCTGTAGCTCAGTGACATTTTTCTAATTATAGATGGATTTATGAAATTCTTAAATAATTTCAAAGGAAATACTCCCTGCTGAGGCAAGGTGAGTCAGCATAGCTTCACTGTCAGCAGCAAACACAAAACCAAGGAAGTGAAATTTGTATGGTTTTAATAAAAGAAAAAGGTCAAAAACTTATTAAAAAGATAAGATCATTGTGCATAAAAAAAAGCTGAAAGAGATAAATAGGCAAAAGCTCCCTTGAGAAAGGGAGCATGAAACAAAAATAAAAGGTGAAAGTTAGATGTAGAGACGATCCATACAGACCTGGTAGAACCCAGCAGTCCAGAGGACTCTCAACATCCTTTAACCTAGTATGTACAGACACGTGGCATAGTGAAGACAGTACGTCTTAGACTGAAATAACAGCAAGGTATTACGTTCATACGGCAAGCACACCCAGTGCTTTTTATGGAATATCAGACAACATTCTGTCCTTCTCCAGGAAAAATACTGAACATTTGTGTTTTCCAATTTTTACTTTGTGTTTCCTGTCAAGGATGGTGCAAATATTAAAAAGCAGCTGGAAATTCACTAAGCTCTASCAAGGGACAATGGTCACAGAGGTTTCTGATGATTCAGTCCCCAAAGGTGGCCTTTCTTCTCTCATTTTGATTTCTTCTTTCAAACTCCAGTCCCCCTCTCTCCTGTCTCCAACAYAGAGGGGAAAAAGCCTTCCCAGCACCTGAGGCCCCCGAGGGCACAGGCAGCAATACTCAGGACGGTTCCCTCTGCTGGGATGACTGCCTGATGTGGCTGGAGACCCCTGTTCCCAGCTCCTCCTCCACACAGCATGCTGCTCCAGAGGAATGGCAGCTACAGAGCTCAAGTGGATGCTTCACATAATCACAGGCCCTTATATACAAAAAAGTGACTCCTAAATTGTTTCTCATACCTGCAAGATGCTGTAGCACAATGCTACCAGATTAAGTCTTAATTTTTCCTGTCACTCCTGCCAAGTGATCCCTGGTTTCCAAACTTCGATTGCACACTGAATCAGTATAAAATTTTTGAGCACGGACTGCAAATACATATGTTTATTTATAAACTATATATATGTACTACTCAACTAATACGATATGCTTATTTTAAAACATACACAGAAACACAAACTGAAAAGGAAGATAAAACAAACCAAAAAGTACTTCCTTCCTACACTCCAATGGACTGCCCTACCCACACTCCACTTTGGAAATCACTGATCCAAGCAAACATTTCATCAGGCCAGCTGCATAGTTGGGAGGAAAGACATCTCACTCCAGGTCTTTTCCCATATGCCCATATTATTTACCAAATATGCTTAGGCCTGTCCAATCTCCCTGCTCATACATGAAGTAATGGTTCTACAGTTTTAAACCAACAAACCAGACCTTGCTTTCTAAACTTCAGTTCCTGGATTTGAGTACAAACTCAAAAAACTAACAACTTCCCAAAATTTTCCTGAAAAAAAGATTACGAGTTCACTCACAATAAAGAGAGAGACAGTACACAAATAAACCTGAAGCTATAATGAAGTCTCTCTCTGAGGTCTCTCAATGGCTCAACAAACTGAAAARTTAACCAGCCCAGGAGAGGGCTTTACACAACTTCTTTATTACTATCTCTGTTGCTCTAACAGTTGGCAAGAAGCAAAAGCTTCATATACAGCTCCAGGTAGACTCTTTCAATGTTTCTTGCAAGAGGAAGCAACAAACTTCTAAAAGTACGTCCAGCCTTCACAGACCCCATTCTTACAAAGGGCTGTTTTCCAGGGGACTACCTGAGCCAGAGTCCTGAACAAGCTAATACTAGCTAAAGTTAATCAGAAAGCTAGTCTTTCAAAAGGCAAATAAAAAAAGCCCACCAAACCCCAAGAATGCTTCAACKAAATTGATCTGGGAAAGGGGAGAAATGGTAAGACAAATGRTGCTTCTTGACATCATCAGTAAGTTGATATGCACAGCATGCAAGAATATGTCACACAGCAGAGACTGTCCTTTCAGAGAATGCTTTTCGCACACAGGTGAGACAAACAGACACAGCAGTGCTCCCTCACCAGCAGAGCAGCCAGGCTGATCTGAATCCCATACAGGCAAYCCAGCACCRAGGGGCTAGGCAGCTATGCAAGCTGCCCAGAGCCTCTCAGCCTAAAAGAYCAACAGCACCAGCCACTCAACTGGAATTCTCTGCTTTTATAAAACACACAAGAAAACGAGAGAGGAATTTAAAAAGCCATCGAGGTAAATGGAAGGTTTTGTTGCAGAACTAGCTAACAGTTGCTAAGGAGGACTGGCTGCTGCTCGGCCCATCACTCCTTGCTTGACTGTGGAGTGCCACCCAAATAACCTAGTGTGGTTCAAAAGTAGCTCTCATTTCACCGATCAAATACATATAAAATCAGCCACCTGCCATGTGAGAAAATGACTAATGCTTGCATCTTTTAAGCTCTTCACCACTGAAGCAGCTTTTGAACACAGTACCATTTGAATTTGCTGAAGGAACCCTGCTTTTCAAAACAAGATTTCAAAGGGCTTAAGAAAACATACAAAGAGATGATAAAGATCAAAGATAAATCTGACTTACTGCTGCCGCTGCGGCCTCCTCTCCACCTACATAGATAGAAGAAGCAATCTCCATCACAGACAAGTTTGTGGGAGCATCTGTAGTGGATGAWGATCTGGGCCGACCCGATTGAATATCCTGAGCAGACCTTCTGTTGATCTGCGGGCTTCCTTTCGGGGCATCTGCCTTGCCCCACCTGCTGTGCAGGCTGGTCCCTCTCTTCATTTTAGGTGGCACTCTGATCTGCTGAAGCACCCGGTTCAGAGCTGTGGGGTGGGTGGAGACACCATCAATGTCAGCACAGACGCTTTGGCTTTCCAAATCCAGGTCAGGCTCCAGCTCAGCCTGAGCTTGCTGGACATCGTGTGGAGAAACAGAAGACCTCCTGCGCTGATGCTGGAACAGGTGCTTCAAGCCTTGACCAATGACATTAATGTTCTCCAAAGCATTATGCGTTATTTTGGATAATTTTTGCTCTGATTCATGTTGTTTTTTTGTCTCTTGATCTTGGGATTTGCCTCCAGGATCAGGGTCATCACACAACTGTTCAGTGCCAGACGGCTCCATTGATGACACCCAACAGGTTTATTTGACTATTCATACATACATATGTCCCCTCTCTTTAAAAGGCTTGTGTTTATTTTGAAAATGCCAAGATTGTCAGCCAATTAGGTGTGCAATTGCTTCAAGAGTGACTACACATGCAGCTGTGCCACGGTGATCTCATGCTTATCTAATGTTAAACAAAAGAGTAGTCATTATTACACATCCATGCAGCAAGTAGTGGGTTAAAAATCCAATGTGCAAAACATGCCCCTCAACAAAATAAAATGTCTCAGTCCTCGGGGCACCTCTCCACGTGTCATTAGTCGCATCTAGGCGGCAGGCAGAAGCCTAAGCTCGTGTCAGACAAGTCACTCATTGCCTGGGGAGAGAAGCCCAGTACAGAGCATCTGGGAAAGCAAGAAATGTAAAAAAGCTGTTCAAAGTGGGGAGAAGCAAGGAGAAACCAGTGGGGTTTTGTTTATTAAGAACAAGCCCATAATAACATCTAACAGAACATGAGGTTAAACTTCTGAAGAGCATGTTAGTCACTTTGGCAGAATTAATTTTGCTCTTTGACAARTATCTGATACTAAGACCCTAACACAACAGTATTTAATACATGCAAAAAGCCAGAACATTTCCAAATGAGTTATTAATTTTCAAATAGTGAGAAATGGCTTATTACAGCCAGCATCCACTGATGGCACTGGAAACTAGATATGAAAATCCGTCTTCAAGCAAGAACAGGCAAGTGAAATGCTTTCAATTGGCATACTCTTGCCCATAGCTCTCAGAGAAAACAAGGATGCCTTTTTAAAAGTAGTTTAAGCAACCAATCTGCAAGGGATCAGCACCAGGTATGTGCAGTTCAGCCTCTGGCACAGGAATTGCGCAGATATTTTTCGAGAGCTCAACCCAAGTCATTCCCTGAGCTCGGGCAAGACTGGGATATACAACAGTGCAGCTTGGCACTTGTATAGCAACAATTAAAGGGGAAGGTCAGCAAAGAAATGGGGACAGAAGGAAGGGAGGAAGGGAGGGAGAAAGGGAGGGAGGAAGGAAGGAAGGAACACAGTAACTGAAAGAGTTTCACATCAGCACCATGAGATCACATGATCAGAAGCTGACCATTGTTTTCTGCAGCAGAAAACTTTGATTAGGCTTCTATAAATAGAGAAACCAGCTCACAGAGGTTTACCTCAATCTTGGCAGAAATCTGCTGCACTTGGCAGAAAACAGTTCATGCTTTAGAAAAGAATGATTTGAAAGGCAGCATATTTGGCATCTGAGTGTTCATTTCTACACTAAAACAGTTGCAGAAACATAATGCATTGAGTTTACAATTGGAGCACTCTTGATTTTGTGMATTTAAGCCTGACACAATGGGTTAAACAGATATTCCAAAATTATTTCCAAATTGYCATCCAAAAATATCAGAAGAACTGCCTCTTTTTTTCAAGTGTCTTTCACTGCTATCAGCTGGAGGCAAGAAGAAACTCACTACTTACAGAAAACAGAATACTGGAATCATGCACGATTTTACATCAATACTTTGAAGATGCTATAAGCATTAAGCCTAAATCTACTGACCAGTTTAGTCACTAACACATYAGATGCAAAGTAATAAATTACATCCCATATATTTACCCATATTCATGGAGCAAKTGTATGGCAGAAGAAAAGATGTCCAAACAACATATTAATACTTACATACTTAACACTTTCTTAAATGAATTCAAGTGCCTTTAAGTCTTATAGTGTTCTTTGACTTTTGAGCTTGCTTTTTCTCAAACTTTTTTTTTTTCTCTGATAACAGGTTTTCCAGAAAGTTGGACCACAGGTCTCCAGTCAATATAAGTTTTAGGGCAAAAAAATCACAAAACTAGATGCTCATTTTTAACCAATACACCAAACTGTTCAGTGAACAAAACTCCCCATATAAAAAAGCAAGACTCCCAAAATTATTTGGCACATAAAATACTGACAGCTGACCCCCTCAGTGTTTATTTTTCAGTCAGGACTAACTAAAGAACTGCAGTTCTTATCTAGGATGACCAGTACACTCTTATGCCAGGATCTCGTTGATCTCCTGCATGTTCTCTATCCAGATTACCACTGGTAATACTGTCAGTCATAAAGAACACCAGTTCATTCCAACTGGAGTTCCATGCATTATCTGCCAGAAAAAAATTAACCTGCTTAAATTAACCCTATGCCAATTTGCAAATCAACCTGAGACAAATCAGGCCACAGTGAGCTCCCAAACAAAGCACGGTTTGTCCCCCTGTGTGTTCTGGGACAGATTTCTGAAATTAAATGGCCTCTGAGAGGCTCCTAATGGGAGCTTTGTAGTCATCTCCTATTTCTGTTTCCATAGGATTGGTCTGTTGTGAGCCTGAAATGAGCTTTGCAAATTACATATCTGGTATGAAGATCCTTACAGCTACTTATTTGTTCTAGTATCTACTTTTGGGGAAAAAAAACTTGGAAGTGTGAAGAACTGAGAATCATCAGAATTAATTAGCATACTTATTTGCATTAGGATTCAGCTTTTGTGCTCACTTTTGTTTTCTCCACTTACAACCACTTGTATATTTTGTTTGTGGGTGGAAATAACACTTTATAGCATGAAGTTCAAAAACATGCATTTCTTATTTGTACAAGAATCTGCTGCATCAGGAACAAAAATCACAATTCCATATACAGCCACACTGGGCAGACATTATAACAATATTACATCCCAGAACATTCTAATATAGTCCTTCATTTRTGCAATTATTTCCCAGGAGCTCTGGGAAACAAAACAGTTCAAAAGGAAAAACTGGCAAAACCAACATTAGGTAACAGTGAAAGGATAAACTTGTACTTACCTCCATCACTTCCCCTTTAGCATGGCTGACCCACAGCAGTTCCKCCACTGAACAGAACTGCAAAAGAAATTGAGTACGAGATAAAATTTTGGAAATGGGAGGAAAGATATACATAAACAACAAAGTGAGCATGATTCCAACTTCTTAATTTTTTTTTAATGCTTTTTTTTCCATTGAAATGCAAGTGCCCTTTGAAAGCTGTGCTATTTTAAACTCTTTCAAATGATTGAAGGGGAACAAATATAACTGAAGTTGAAACTGACTCTTACAGAGTTAATCAAGAAGTTATGTGAAGGGCTTTTTCTCTTGGGGTTTATGGCCACCAACACATGCCGAAAGCACAGGAAGGTGCCAGGSCTCCAGGCTGCAAGGTCAGTCTGCACTATACAGATTTATTTTCTTCTCCTATTCAGTCATTTACTGCCCCTGGCACAGGTCAAATASCTGGCTCTCGTTTACCTGGCAGTGCTGCAGCACCCGCCACAGCTCATTTCTCCAGGCCACTGCTGCTGCCGGGGAGTGCAGCCCCATGCCCTGTCCCAGGGCAGGACAAACCCAGCCCATGGCAATCCCGGCCACAGGGAGCTCCAAGTGGGAATCCCACCTGCACACATCCCCATGCCCCAGGACACGCCCGGCTCTGCTCTCCTCCAGGAGGGAACAAAGCATTCCAGGCTGTTKGGATGGACTACACAACGTTTCTGCACACAACCCAAGGTAAGGCCAGCTGTTCGCTTGGASATGACATGAGGACAGCTGAGAGCAGACGCTAGGCATTTCTCTAGCCAGACGCACAGATTATTCTGAAACACAACCAGATCACCCAGATTTTCTGAAGCTGATTAATTACTCAACCARTTCTTGAAAACAGGGAGTACACTATGCTCCAAAAGAACACAAAAAGTCTGCACATCTGGGGTATTTTGACTATTTTATTACATGCTWGATTCCCACCTCTAAGGCAGCAAGAGAGGAGGAAACAGTCAGATCCACAGAGGTGGGATGCTAGAATATGAAGAAAATATTAACAACTTAGAAAAAATGAATGAACATATTTTTAAAAAAGATCTTGACATACAAGAAATTCCATTTCTATACTAGCATGAGTGGAGAACTAAGCACAATGTGTGAAGTATTGGTCATACATGAAGTGCCACTAACAGAACTTAAGAGCCACTCAAATTGTCCTTTTTTATTTTTTTGTTGAAGTTTTAGTATTTTTTATTTATAAGAACTGTAAGAGCTTCTGTCAGCAAGGTTTTCAGAGTTATGACCTCCAGCACTACAAGACCTGCAGATCAACAGCTGCTGTTGGCTCAAATTGGTTCACAGCTGCCATTGTGTTCAGAATTGAAGCCCCAGAGTGCCCACAGATTTTTTCCTCATCCTCCTCCTCCAAAATTCATCCAAGAAAGTGTATTTTTGAACTCTACTGAAGTCCAAGAGAAAAACCAGGAACACAAGATATATAGACATACCCTCCCCAGGCCAAGACCAAAAATGGAGTATGGCTGCAAGAGCTGTTAAAGGAAACAGTTGGCAGTCCATTACAAGGTTGGCTTGTAATTCATACAAGATAAATAATATATTAATATATTCAGAGACAAAAATGGGACTATCTGAGCCCATACAAAACATGAAATGTTTCTCCTAGAATTCTCACAAGCCTAAAATAGCTCTACACAGTCCAGGCATTTGTTTGTTAGCGGTGAGTATGTTACAAGGAAAAAGGAGTGGCATTAGCACATTCCGCCCTGCACAATTACAAACAAGATGCCCAGGTTGCCCATCAAACACTGCTTGCAGTCCTTCAGCCAGCACTTGCAGGARGTTTGGAAGGACCTATCAGTAAAACCCTACCCCATCCACACCTCTTTACCTCTTCTCAGTGTTAAAAATCAGCTATCAATGCTGTCAAGAGAAATAGGAGATGGAYAAGGCGCTTCCAACTTGACCCATTGCAGCCACTTCTCCCAGTCCCAGGYAGGCTCTAGCAGAGCTTGAGACAAGGAACAATATAACTACATCTGAATGTACGCTAGCGAGTAGGAACAGCATCAGCATAGTCAGGCACACAGTGTGAGAACAGGCATGTGCACCTGCCCTACAGCACACCAGCACCTGCCCTGTGGCACATGGGCATGCTACCAGGCTTCTTTTCAAGTGCCAGGGAACCACCACTGCACAGCAACAACTCCCTACCCCATCAGAGCAAAACCATTTGGAACAGGATCCATGTTAGCTGTCCATCTACTGCTACCACAGACTTGTGAATTGCCTGCTTTGCTCACTTTTTGGACTTCTGCAATAAAAATACTGAACTGCACATCTACAGTTTTTTTCTGTTAGATCTTATGATGCATTTTAGAGACACACACAAAATTGCACAAAGACTGCACAGCTAAGCAGCCACACTCACAAATATGCTGCTCTTCAATATCCACCTCCACATCCAGCTTCACAGAGACAGTACTTTGGTAGAAAGAAATTGCGTTTGACTACTAGCTTGCCAATGGGAATCAAGTAGTTACGCATTTAAAACCTCAGCCAAAACCAGAATATTTCCTCCCACATTCATGGCAGAGTCCACATAAAAAAGAATCCACAATCTTTACCCAAGGCAGCACAAAAAGGGAGCAGTCTTATTTGAAATAAGGCTGTATTTCAGCAAAACCAAGACCCAAGCTAATGACTCCTTACAGAGCCATTGTGCAACTTGAATTTCCCACAGAACACCCCATTTCCTTGCTGCAGAGCAACTTTGCAGCTGCTCAGGGCCCCAGCACAAGTACGTTGGTGGTTATGTAACACCAGCTACAATTGTGGGTCCTCCCCAGGTGCAGAGCTTTCTGTTTCCATTTGCTGAGGCTCCTGCCTGCCTCTTCCTCAAGCCTATCTGAATAGCAAAACAATCATCAGGGCTATCAATCAACTTCCCATCTTGTATCACCTACAAAATTCCTCACCTGGCCGTATTAATGTTATCAATAAAGTGATTGTACAGTAACGGACCCAGTGCTTCTCCCACAGACTGGAATTGCATCTGAAGCATTTAAAGGACTTTGGAAAACCAGAACCAAAACTTTCTCTTTCAGCACAACAAACAAACTGAAAACTAACTCCCACAGCAAAAGTATGACCAACATGGGAACTGCTCTGCAGAGCAGCAAGCAGCCACTGATGCAGCCCCCCCTCCACCTGGCAAGTTCCCACTCCTCTTACCACAGGATGTTCTGCAGCTCAAGCAGTCAAACTTCTCACAGGTATTCAATGCAAGCTAACCAAGTTCTTCTGTTATGGAAAGGCTCACATATCCAGAACGTCTTTATCCACAAAGCATTTAATGTAAATCAGTAGCCACAAGAGCTAGATACTATCCCAGCTGAAAGCCAACAGAGTGAAGGACCACAGCACCACAAACCTTGGAGGGACTGGCTTTCACCAACAGAGCTTTTGCCTCACTAGTCAGTCAGCCATCACTGGCCTGAATGGGCTAAGTTTAGCCCTAACAGATTCTGACCCAAAGTCACTCTGTGTTCATTTCTCCACTTAAACTGCTATTCAACATCAGGATCACAGCAAGGACACTCACTGCTTCTCACAGACAAGTGACACTACCTCTTATGACTGTGGCCTACTAAAGCATGAGACGCTTGTTCAGAGGGCAGTGATTTACAAACATGGAGTGCTACAGGTGCATCACTTCCAGTGATCCCAGAAAAGGCCACAGTCCTTTTGCTCCAAACTGGTATAACTGAGAATCATGAAAAACATATTTATTTGCCATTAGGATAATCACCATGGCAACTGGCTTCCAGGAAAATAACAGCCAACAGCTTCAGTACAAAGGCCACTATGGGGATTTGTTAAGGACACCATCAGCTCACACAAATCMCAAAAATACTGAAATTTGCCGAATTTATGCCTGAAGAAACCGTAAGTAGAAATGTGCAAACTTCCTGTCATAACCCATCACGCCAGCTGAATCAATGGCAGCACCATTCACCTCAACACTGGAGAGTCCTTTAACATGTAGGACAGTTTTAATGCAATATTCTCTAATGTACTTCTGWACTTCTCTAATGTACTATTTCTCTAAGTGAAGTAGTGTACTACTTCACTTCTTTACATCAAAAGAAAGCTTTATCTTACACTCAGTCTCCCTTTTCACTCCACTCTATACTACTATATGAGTTTGAACAATTAAACTGCAACACTTAATGCTTGTCATTGTAATGTCTTACAAAGGTAGATCAATCTCATTTTACARTTAAGGAAATGAAGACTAATACTGTGATTAGGGATGTATATTCAGGGAGACATGGAATMTTGTATTACAGGTTTTCAGAGATACTGCAGGAATTGTTCTATTTTCACAGAACAGCAGCTTTTTTTGGGAAAATGTGTGCCAATTTTAATTGATAGGATTACAGAGATCATAACTTACTTATAGACAACTTAAAAATGCACCAAGTTGGGTTACAGAATCCATGTCCCTGGTTCACTGCATAAAGCACCGCTAAGGTGGCAAAGGGCAGCTCAGCAAATTACTTCTCTCCTGGTGTGTTCCAACAGTTTCCATGAAAGCAGTTTACAGGAAACAAAATCACTTTTTTGCCCAATGCTACTTTAGCACACTGCCAAACCAAATAACGCTGACCAGGCAAACTGAGAAACATGTTTAAAGTGTGCTACACCAACTTCTCCCCACTTGTTACAGAGAATSTCACCAAGATGCCAGTCCTTAGCTCCAGCTTGCAGGCAAATGATGGAGGAATTCCTTCCGCACAGGTGAGGGATCCCCCTTCCCAACCACAGCTCTATGCTGCCCATGACAGTTCAGGCTAGCACTGCCAATATTCTGCCTCCCTGTTAAACAGTAACATCACCAAGCTGTTTTAAGTCASACAGGGAAGTAGATCAGATCTGTGTCCCTCCAGTATCATGTCAGCCTCAATCACTGGAGCTTATCAATAAAACTTTGCGTGTTGTCTGCTAAATACATTCTGTACAGCAATGTGGCATGATGAATGATTCAGTCAGGTAGCTACTTTCAGCACAATCAGTTTTYCTTTCTAAACAAAACCCACTAATGTATGTGTCTGATGGAAGCCAGAGAGGTGTGTGTTTGGCTGCCTTTCACTGTAATCCMCCATTAACTGACAACACCACCACTGCCCTGCAAGGTTGGCATCTACATCAGAGAAGGGATAATTTGTGTCCAAGTAATTTACAGAAGAAACAGGTGTTACCAGTGCACACCAGCCACTTTTAAATCCATACAAAGGCAGTTAGCCAACTTCCTCATTCCAGGTTAAGGGTATGTATGGACAGCTAAAAGCCTCCAGGAAAACACAGCTGTGCATGCTGTGACTTTCTGTGCTGCCTGAACAGTCAAAGTTGTCCATCAYTTGTTACCTGGGCAGAACAAACCTGTTCAGTGACAAGGCACAGCCCACCCAGCTCTGCTACTCTCCTACAGGCATATTCTCTTCATCACTGGCATATTCTCTTATGAGACTGCTCCTTTTAGTAAGCAGAGACCACTGTGCCAGCACCTGCGCACAGGAAGGCAAGCAAAACGTCCTTCTTTCCTAACCTTCAATCCAGATGCCTCCCAATTTGAGGCAAGTACAGTGTAAGTTCATGTGAGCGTTTTATYTAACCAAAGAGAGCAACCACCATGGCCTCCCAGGTGCATTTCAGTGACTATTAAACGTCTGTCACATACTTCGAAGGCAATTTCTGCAGACCATGCTAGCATTTAGGAASTGAATGGGTGAGTAACAAATTCAACCAAGCTTTTCTCAAGAGAATCTTCTGAGTACTCCCACAGGAGGTTCAACCAAGGTCACCCTACATACAAAACCATCTGGGTATTCTGGGGCTCCTACAGCCTCATTGTGCATGCGTGTATTCTACTGCTAAAACCATGCAAAATGCTGCATWTCTGCCTGAATCGAGAAAATGTGCACCTAGAACTCTCTTTGCCCTAATCAGATAGTCTTTCCTTTCCATGTGTTCTAAGTCAGAGCAGGCATACATACCTCAAAAGTGCTCAGGGTAGCTCATCTCTTTGCATAGATATGCTCACAGTTGTAATCCAAATGTCATCAACAGAGGTCTAACTTTAAAAAAAAATTAGAAGTATAAATTCCACAGGAAACAGGAAAGTCAGGGGAGGGAAGAAGATATGATTTATCAGCTTCTACATTTGCAGACATCTGCAGTCAGTACAGCAGGTCATTTCCAAAGTAAATCTCGGCAACAAAGCTTCCTTGTAGAGGAGAAAGACCTGCCAAAATTAACAAGCATAATGAGAAACACTATTAATACCTAATAAACAATAAAACAGCACACATATTCAGAGTTCCCTTCAGAGAAAAGAATTAATTCATTTGAAATACTGGGTTTCTGCTAGCTTTGACGTATTCAAAATCAGAAGCAGCCTCTGAAGTTATCTCATATTCTGACTACTTTAACCTAATAAATTATCTCAAGGAGAGAAATTCTCTAAGCTGTCAAATAACATTTGATCTTATCAGAGCATGCAACACTATACCACATCACAGATAGCCCTGATTCAGACAAACCTTCCCAGCTCACCAAATGCCTTAATGTTCACTGGATATTTTCACACAGGAGCGGCTTGTGTGACCAGTGTCAGACTAAAGAATTAAGTTGCTGTTCAGAATGAGGACCAACACAGAGCATGATGAAAGTCCCAACACAGAACGTACATAAGGTACATACCTGGGGGTTCCTGAATAGCATTAATGTTCAGGAGTGTTGGCAAACTTCTCAATTTCTCTGGCTTGGATTTAAGTTAATAAAATGTAAAGTTTTTGGGGGCAGAGACTTTCTGTTCTGTGTTCTTATTTCATATGGTATGTAAGATCTAGCTTCCAAATCAAAATTCTCAATGTTATTTTGATAGATGTGTTTTGTATTTTTGGTGCATGAGTAGGATTGTTCTCTATAAATAAAAAGGGTCAACTAGTTTATCACAAAAAGCTTCTGAAAGTATGACAACATTACATTTTGCAAAAACCCATTTAACTACACACCACTGTTTGCTTCCTTCTTTCCCTTTTCCTTAACACGCTTGGCTAGAGGARCAATTTTGAGGATTTGAGCTTAAATTCAAGCCTAAAGAATCAGCTCATTGTGCTGTGACAATATCCAGGGTCTCAACTGCTATGGGGAGTTAAGAATTTCAAGTATTTAATTATAGTAGAATACTCAGTTTCTAGAAGTGCAGACAACACGTCTAGCCTGYCACCTTCACATTCCATTTCACTCAGCCATCGTCACTCTTCCAGAGATGTTGGTTTATCCTCTAGGAAACATTATGCCAAGTTCACCGACTTGCTGAGGTYGGAAGGGACCTCTGGATGTCACCTGGGTCATTGCCAAGAAACCACTTGAACAAGTCTCACTATGGAGATACTGCCCTGTTCCTGGTCCCAGAGAAGTAACCCAAGTCCCTGTGAGCTGCAACTCTCATGGAGAGCACACGATCTCTGCGCTGAGCAGCCTCCAGCGCACCRCAGCAAGCAGCCTTCACCAGGCCTTAGGGGACAGGCAGAGGGAAMACCACTCCCTGTATTTCAGGGCTGAGGAGACTCCAGTCTACCGAGAGGCAGCCAATCGGCCAGCTCACCTGAGATACACCCTGCACTTGGTGAATCCAGGTTCCAAAGCCCAGCTCTCAYTGGCAGACAGCTACAGAATCACCTGAGAACATGCCACACCAGTAAATGCACAGGGGAAGCCAGCAGAGAGGGAAGACTCCTCCCCCAGAGCTCTAAGCAAAAATTCCTAGAAACCAAGCCCAAGATATTATCACACCAAGTGTTTTTAGTRGTTCAAAAACAATTCTCTGRAAGACCAGAGGAGACACGAACTCGAGGTTTGCCTGACTCCAGAGCAGCCACAGTCTCTGGCTCACAGTCAGGCACAGGCCATTCCCCCAAGCAGAGGAGGAGTTGATTTGCTRGATACTACCCATTTCCTACAGCATGCACCTCTCTAAACACACAGAAACAAAACCTGGAGAATTACAATGATTTCTGTTTTSTATCTGAATTAGATACAGGTTTTAATTTTTGGAACTTCATTTACTATTAAATAAGATGCAATACTGCCCAAAGCATGACACAGATCTGCTTCAAAAACCAAGCTAAGCAACTTGGTGGTAAATGGAGGGGAGAACCCCCAAACTTTATAGAACCTGAAGTTCCAATTTCTTTCTAAAGCAAATTCCACATAAAGTAGATCATCCCCCATCTTCAGTTTGCTTCCACATTTTGGATAGCTTCCAGACCAGCTGGGTGAGTTTATCAGGGCAGCTGAACTGGACACAGTGAATACAAAGCTCCAATGAACTTATTCATTTGGCACCAGARCCCTGTGTAGCTGCAGAATTGCTGAGCCCTGCAAGCTGGAGAGCCCCACTGTTCCCAGACAAGGGAAGGAAGAGTCACCCCAGCATCAAGACAGAAACAGCCTTCCCMGTGAAACACCTGCTCACTGGGCTTTCCTTGCCTCTAGACACTTCCAGATGGACAAAGAAGTTACCCTATGAGAAGCAYCGTCCTGTGACCAAACCTGGAGTCACCTGCCACATGTTAATCCTGTTTAAGACAGAGTCAGCGGTGAGCAGCAGGGACAGCAGAACTTGTTCCCTGGGCTGAGGAGAACCCAGTGGCACTGACTCAGCTCAAGGCATCACKACTTCAGCGATAGCACCAGTAGCCTGGATTGTTACTAAGGGCTTCCATCTTGCAGAAAYACCTGATTTTAAGGTTTGTGGACGATGGACACAGTTATTGATGCAATGGTAGTTACATTATCCCCCCTTCCTCCTCCCCTAGGCTTCCATTCAGATCTTTGTACCTTCAGGTCAGACCCTTACTCCTCCCACCCACCAAGAAGCCTCATTAAATTACATTAYTGACAGAGTTTTGCAGCGAGGGGGATGCCTCCATCCACCATACAAGCTTTGCTGGCTACCGCATTTGTCACTAATGCACATGAGGTACTTCTGYATCGCCACTGACAGCAGCTGCACACAAGTCACACACAGCGTCAGCTCCGCKACTCGTGATGTTTGGCACCAGTAAAGCTCAGAAGCTGCTGCTTTGCACCTTAAGTTCTTTACTTTAAAGGCCTATCACCACTGACAATCTGCTTTTAAGCCGGCAAAATCTGAGATCACCAKGAAATAATTCGTGTCTTAACGATCTCATCACAGACAGCCAAGACGGACAGGAACCGGTGGAGCGAACACCTCAGACACCCCYAAAGCAGCGTGGGGGCCGCGGCGGTGCCTCCCGGATCCCCAGCACCAGACCCATGTGCGCTGGGCCGCCCCGCAAGGAGCCAGGGCGGCTGTGAGGGCAATCGCTGGGCCACGGCAGGGGCCGGGGCCGCTCGCCACTGCTGGGCCGGACATAGCCCGGCGCAGCCCGGGCCCTACGCCCCGGACCACAGACCGAAACGGGCCGAGCGGGCCGGCGGGGCCGCGGCTCCGCCACAGGATGCTGAACCGACCGCAGGAGCGGGGGCGGCGGCGAGAGAGCGCGGCCGAGGGACGGCTCTGGGGGCGGCTGAGGCACCCCCGCTGGGCGAACCCGGGGCCCGGCCGGAGGGGTCCCCTCGCCYCGTCCCGCGGTCCGAGCTGTTCCCCCGCCTCGCTCCCCACGCTGTCCCCGATGCCGTTCCCTCTCGGTCGCCCACGCCGCGGTCCGCAGGGCACTCACCGGCCGAGCGGCGGCCACGGCCGCTCCATCCCCGCGCGCCGCCACCGCCACCGCCACCGCCACCGCCCGGCCCGGCCGCGTGACGTCACGCGAGGGGCGCGCGCGCCGGCGTCACCGCCAGGAGGGCCCTGAGGGGGGCGTGGCCCGCGCGCGGCGCCTGCGCACCGAGCACCGTTCAGTGCCTGCTTCCGGTTCCGCTTCCGGTTCCTGCTCCCGGTTCCGCTTCCGGTTCCGCCTCTCCCGCCTGTCTCACCGCGTCTCTGTCCTGCCCGGGCAGCTCCCGACCCCGCGGCGGCTCTCGGTCTCTGTGCCGCGGCTCCGGGCGGCTCCTCGCACCTCCAGACACGGTTTTTCTCTGCTCACCTGTTCCGTCTCCCATAGCCCCTTCCCTGGTGTGGCTCCTCGCCTGGAGACCGCCACAGCCCTGTGCAGGAGTGGCACGGCCCCTCAGCCCTGACAAAAGGGCCCTCTGTGGTATCAGCAGCCAGGGGCTTTATGAGGGGCTTTATGTAACAAGATGCTCAAGGAAGGATTCAGTGATTTGGCACCAGGTTACAAACTGGGTTTTGCCTTCCAGTTTGCCGGATAGAATTCGCATTGCAGTTGTAGTGACCATATGGAAACYTGTGGAACAGTCAGACTGTGCTGAGCACGTTTCAGAAGAGCTCCCTGATTAGCTGCCTCTGGCTCGCACCCACGTTTCCCTGGAGCAGTGTCAGGTGTGTGCTCTGTAGAGACACTGCTCACCTCCATCTCGGATGCAGCGTGGACCATCCCTCTATCACAGCATTGTCATCTGGGGTGATGCACTTGGGTATTTTTAGAAAGCTGCACCCTTTCCTGAAGCTGATTTGATGAGAAATTTGCCTTGATCTTTATTTATCTGATGCAATTAATGCGTTTGACTGCAAAAAAAACCCTGGAATTTACACAATCTGACTTATTTTAAACCAGTGCTCATTACTTCTTCTATTTTTCAAACTCAAGAATTAAAACCAGGCAATTGAATTAAAACCAGCCAATGTTTTTCCCACTCAAATCCCTCCCACACCAACCCCAGCTCTCTGCTGTCTTCCCCCTGGCCCTGCCCAAGGTTTCACTCCAGSAGATCTGGCTGCCACAGCTCCCTGGTGTGCAGGGAGGCATGAGCTGAGTGCTAGACAAGCATTGCCACTGGCACTCACAGCACAGGGGTGCCAGGAGGATGTGCATCCTGACAGGCTAAGAACACCTCAAGGCAGGACTTGGTGGATCTTTGCCTACTGAAGTGAATCCGTAGCACACACAGCTCCACTCAAGAGAGGGACCGGGATGGATATATCATCTGTCCAGGATCTCTTCTTCCTGACCACCTTCCTGCTCCAATGCTTCAGCACTCAAATATCCTCATGCCTTTTCATAAACAACTGGTCATCTAAGGCCTGGCTGAGCATTCCATGATTCCGTTTCTAGGAAACGAGGACAGTTTATTTAAACCTGATGGGAACTTTGTTACTCCCCTGACCTCCCAAGCCAACACCTTGCAGAACTAGTAAGTGATCTTTCAAAATTTCAAACCATTTTTCACTTCCCTTCTTTCCAAAGCTAAGTAAACAAGCACTGAGATCTTGGGTCAGAATGTGGGACCTGAGTGTGGCACAGACCAAAAGCAGTGAGGGAGCCTGCCCAGCCCAAACTCCCTAGCTGCCTACAGAGCATAAACAACACACAGGGTGGCTTCTATATTCAAATTTATTAATTCAATTCTTACATATTAGTAAAAAAAATCCAAGTAATTAACAGATCGTTAGTGTTAAATTTCTAGTTAACATTAAATTTGGCTTTACACATATAAGTCTTACAACTACAACATGATTTAGAATATCAGRTTCAAAAGTTCACAGGAAATCTGTGGTTCTAGACAACACACAGAAGTGATGAACCAGGTAGGCAAGAAAGTAGAGTACAACTGTCTCTCACTGCAGGTACTGGTGGGGATATTTTGGCTCAATTACACACTTTCTAATAGGACTTTCTGCAATCTATTTCTACATATTTGTGTAACTAATTTTCAAAAAGTATTTTATATTCACTCATTCAAAGAGGGGAACTTTGCAAAGCTATAAATAGATACTCAGGGAATAGCTTTTATRTCACAGCTTTGTAGCATCTTCCCTGTTTTTCCAGACCAACTGAAGCCAAAGGTGCACAGTAGTTCTGAAGGCCAGACAGCACAATGTTTTGCCATGCACAGTCTGGATCTAGAGACCCACATATATCTATGGACAGGAGCCAATACCTACTGCAGAGATTTCTGTCTATCTACAGCTATCACTGGAACAGAGCTCTGCAGTTTGATATGACCATATGCCAACCTAAAATCAGTTCACTCCTCACAGAGTGGAGAACATTTTGGGCCTCACTGGTCTCTGTCCAACATTGTGGCTTGTGCAGTGCAAACAAGCACAGCAGTTATTTCTTGAAATGTGTGGCACTCAGCAGAGCTCGTAATTCTTACACAAAAAAAAAGTAAAAAAGTCCTCACAGAAAGACTAGGGCAATAATACAATGAAAAATAYACTTCCATTTGCAAAATGCTCCATCTCTTGTAACTGCTCCAATGCAGCCAGAAAAGTWAATAAAAGTTAATTAATGCAAATAGTAGTAAAAATTTAGTCTTTTTCACATGGCATTTTCAAGAAAGTCAGCCTCCTATCATTGCTCTTGAGCTAGGTGAATATAATCAACTCCCACTGCAGACAGAGGTGCTGTGTTAAAAACACCTTTCTCAACTGTGCAGATACAGGGCACCTGAGGCTCAGAGGGCACAGGTCCAGCCCAAGATAATGCTCAACATCAGCAAGGAACGCCTGGGCCACACAGGTGATCTGCACAATACTTCTCTTTGTACACTAGCAGGTATCCTTGTTCTGTGACTGGATTGCAGCGGATTCCCAGCGCTGTGCAGAGCMCTGGAATGAAACCCTGGACACCTCTTCCCCGTGGTAAGGCACAGCATGGAGTACGAGTGTAAACCAGCTGTGTGCAATCTCCTTTTAGCCAACACTGTCGGCATCTCACAGCACCTGGGCTCACTGGGTGCCACCCCAGCGGTCCCTGCACCCCGCATTGCCTGTGGGCACCCGCACCCGGCACTGCGTAACCCAGCAGGTGCCAGCACTCAGACCCCAGGGCACACGTGTCACACAC